ATAGTAAAGAAGCAACAATTTGAAGGGATAGTAAAGAAGCAACAATTTGAAGGGATAGTAATTTCAGTACTTATAATGAACCTTCTAATTAAAGAAGCAATAACATGAAATGGATTAAATAGGACAGATATGAATGACATCAAGTAATGAAATATTTGACGAACAATATAGAACACTAACTAATTAATTTTTATTTTGCAAAACAGGTTCGAACACTTATAAATACCAGAGTCCATAGTCAGTAATCAAAAAGCGATGACTGCCGTTGTGGTTAAGTAGCTCAGAACCTAGAAGGGGGGCAGGGTTTCATCCTCTGTGTGTGTGACTTCAAGTGAATAATGCTTTTTATTTAAAGTTCACATCACAATAGATCGCGATATTATAGATAATATCGCGATCTGTTCACCATGTGTAGCTGCATGTATACTTTCCCAAAAATTCTCTATATATTGTGTTGTATGGCAATGAGAACAATGAGCAATCATGAAGTACTACCAGTATGACAGTAATTGCGTAAGTTTTGCATTTGAAGGAGTTTTATGTACGAGATGCAATTGTAGTTAGCCTTCTAGGCCCTTTCATTTTGGACGCAACAAAAGGACAGCAGCATGACGATAGTCTGAATATACAGACAGGAATACATGACGTTGTCTAGGAAAGGAAAGCAATTTATGCGAATGTGACTACAATCACAATAGAGAACACCAAATCGAATTCAATTCAATTTCAAATGAAAGGTACATAACAAACGAACAGAAATGCTAATCTGAAACACACATTGGCCAGTGGAACATTGTTAATTTACAGCTAGTTTCACTGTGGTGATGGCACTGTATGTTCACCAATTTGTACTAATAATAGGCTCTCATTGCAAAGGACTTGTTACCTTGTTCCATATGCTTCACATGATTGTTGAGTGGACCGACTTCCATCCTGCAGCATCACCGAAGCTATTCATCAACTTCGTAGTTGACCAAAACAGAGGTAGAAACTAAACAAGTGTAACATCTACGTAATGTGCTGCTTGTTGGTGAGAGGGACAGATTGTTTGCATGTACTTCGGTAGTGGCCCTTCGCACCACACCTTGAGCATTTTTTTATGGGACTCCTCTCCTTTAGAAGCTATTCTTTGCGTTTTGCGACGGCTCGGCATAACCTTACAAAGAGGAGGGAGGATTTTGACCTTCTTCAAATTTTCGGGAAAAACCCATGTGCCTTCAGGTGGTACAGGATAAATAGATTCAGCATATGCAGCTGCCCATGTAGCTCGTGTATAATAAGAAAAGGCAAAGGAGTAGGGGTTCAATTTCAAGTGCCGACATACAGCAATAGCGTGCTTGCACGGGAATTGCTCCAAATCAAACTTCCTGCATGTACAAGTACGGTTTTGCAAGTGCACCAGACCGTTCAAATCACCATCCAGAACATTAAACTCGACATCATTGATTTTGACCACATTCATCCTTGACGCAGCGTCTAACCTCTTCCTTAACTTAATTTCCCCTAAATCAGGGCACAACGTAGAATGAGATTTCATTGCTAACTCTCGACGTTGCCTAAACCAACAGACAAGTAGATTTGTAATTTCGTCAATCAAGTGTAGCACCGGAAGCATCCTTGCAAACCGAAGAACTGAATTAATGGACTCCACAATATTCGTTGTCATCACATTATATCGTCGTCCATCACAATGGGCCCGAGACCACTTCTGGACGCCTACACGTAGTAAATAAGTTCGCACTCGATCATTGTTTATCCTGGAAAAGTGACGATTGAACTCCGCTAGACGATAAGACTTAGCTGCCCTTACAAAATACCCCAATATCGGATCCCGCTGCTTCAACTTAAATGAGGCTTTGATATTGCCTTTCAAGTGATAAAAGCAAATACCATGGCTCGCCCCAGGAAAAACTCTACGCAACCCATTTTGTATGCTAACCTTGCGATCTGATATGACAACGAGATTCGAGCAATCACCAATTGCACAATGTAGTTTTCTCAAAAACCACTCCCAAGCTGCATCCGTCTCCAAATCTCCAATCCCAAAGGCAATAGGATATATGTTCCGATTTCCATCAAATGCGGTCGCAACAAACAAAACACCTTTATACTTGCACTTCAAATGGGTAGCATCAACAGCAATCACGGGCCGCATTGACGACTTAAATCCTCGTATGCATGCACCAATTGCCATAAAAAAAATATAAGAAGTGATCAGCTGCATCAGTCTCAATGTATGTCAAAGTTTCCGGATTTGTACGCTCCAATTCATAACAATAGGAAGGGAGAAGGGAATACGACTCTTCTGTAGACCCTCTAATTCTTTTGAAAGCTAACTCTCGGTTTCTCCACGCTGTAGAGTAGCTTATGCTCACACTGAAATTTTGTTTCACATCTTTCTTGATATCAGCTGCTGTATAAATGCTGCGCGAATCCTGAAATCTCCACTTAACACAGTCATACACCAATTCAGTCGTAGCTTGAGGATGATGACTACTTACATACCTTAGATCACATTCATGAAGTGGATCATATTTAACAACCTTAAACTCATGTAATCCAACTTTATATGCCCGAACTTTCCAAGGGCAAGGAAGCTGCCAACAGCGAACACACAACCGATGCTTCCCAGATTGGACAGTTCTCAATCGAAAGTGGCCTCTAATAGCTGCTAAACTGATGGTTTTTAAAAGGGCAATCTTATTTGGATAAACTCGGCCAACCTTCAAATTTGCTTCCCAATTTATGCACGAAACGCCTCCACCATACTGAATATATTCCAAACTCTGACCATGCTTCAAATCAGCCCGACTTGTATGCATTTCAGTCGAACTTGATTGTCGGGGAGGTTCGGATTGCACCTGTCTACACTGCACAGTGGACGGTTCGACATTGTTGTCCTCATGAGGATGCACAATCGGAGCAGTGTGCGGTTCCTCTTCGTTGCTAGGTTCATTGAAATCAGCAACTATGTTTTCACCACTTTCAAAATTCACTTCTTCAACCCAATCACTCCAATTAAAATCATTCCCACCATTTTCAGTTTCATTGTCCCGAATTACCACATTTCTTTGTTCCACAACAACGTCAGCAGGAGCATTGCTACTCTCAACGCTTACAATGCCATTGCACCCTTCAATACCATGACCTTCAATATTTTTCAAGCTTGCTACTAAAGGGGTTACTTTAGAGGCCATAACATCTGTGTTGTACTTTACAAAATATTTAACATCATCATTGTCTTCAACCCTTATGTGCTTACAGACAGATGAGGATACAGGAACTGAATATTTCAGTGTGACAATATATTTCGTGGGATCTGCATCCACGATCTTATAAATGCGCTGAACAAGGTCGGAAAACGTTACGTTCCGTGACACTATTATGCCTTTAGCCTCCCCACCTTCGCAACTCTTAATGTTATCCTTCTTAACCCAACTTCCATTGTAGCATACCAATATTTCAACAGTATCCATTTCTGCAAATAACATAGATAATTACTATAGCAATGAATAAAACTAAAAAAGATAAATTCCATCAAATAAAAACATACACAACAATCATTCCACTACACGTATCATTTTATAAATCCTCAAATCTTCAAAACTCAAATTGTAGCTGCTTCAACAAGGAACTTTTATTCATTTCTGTCTTTTCTCTGATTTTGTACATAGCTGTGGGTTCCAAGTTATTAACAAACTCACATAAACATACCATGGCAGCAATATGAACCCACTAACCTCTAAGGGTTTTCAACAAATGTAAACA